AACCAAGAACCCATTCGGAGCAAAAATTTGTATGAATATTAGTTTTCAGCCGCTCTTATACATCATTTAAGTGAAATCTCAGGAAGATCAATAGTTTCGTAGTTCGAATTTTAGTGACGTCATGTGAAAACCAGCTATAAGGTAGTTAACTTAAATTGAACGCGTTGATAATTTATGTGCTATTTTCAGGGGGTGAGGTATTCAGAACCACCCACGTGCCACCCACGTGATCCAGTGACTTTCACTCTGCCAATCAGGTTCCAGCAGGTTCCTGACCCAGTGCCCGCGCAATTTACTCTTTCTGCTAAGTTTTTACTGTTGGCTGAGCGGGATCTGTGGTTGAATAAAGACACTGATAAAATGGGAGATTTAAATGTGGATGCAGCATTCTCCAGAGGTAAGGTCAACTTAGATGACTTGAAATGTGTTCAAGCTGTTGTACTATTTAAAATGTAACCATTTTAGACAGTAAAAAGGTTTAAACTGATGCTATTTTTGCTGAGTGATTGCCAGTCTTGACGCGGCTTTCGACGAGTTACATTTTGTAAAAGAAAATTCGTCATGTACTTTGAGGAGTCTTGCAGTTGTGAGCAGCTCCAACTTAAAATTGATCGCATTTTATCGCATTTTATTCATTATTTTATCAGTAGAAAAAAAAAATGTCTGAAATTAAAGTCGTCAACTGAAGCAAGCACCTCTTTTCATATTTTAAAACGGAGGTGTTCAAGCAGGGAAGTTTAAATTACGTTACGCTTCAACTGTTTTGTTTTGTTTCTTATCCGCGTATCCAAATCTCTTTGTGTTTTTGGAGCAGATTCCAAGATCTATGGTCGTATCACTCTACTGGAGGGCAGCGGTCTCGGCAGGGGTAGTATGGGGTATGCTTTGGCCGCCGAGAAGGTCTACTTGTGTACTGGGGTCGGAGAGTTTGTTCCTACGTACGATCCACTGAAGAACAAGTTTGGATGTATGGCGCGTTCATTGTACTTGGAGCATCGGCTGAAAGTTCTGGTGAGCTTTTAATTCAGTGGTATCGCTTAAGTGAAACTTGCGTGGTAATGCTATTGGTAAATGCTCTTAATACTAAGAAGTGTTATAACAGACATTTTATTCTGGAACCTTTGAGTTTAAAGCGTTTAGAAAGAAGGAGAGTTAAAAATTGAAAAGTTAACAATGCTGCAAATACGGTGACTTTTGTCAAACAAAGCTATTGCGTTGCGATGCGTTGAAATGTCACGAAATGCCCTTCTGCAGTTGTGACGAGCCAATTATTGCGTTATGCCACAAGACAGTATTTGAAGTGTTTCAGCTGTCATGAAACTGTCCTCCAATGGCCGTTTCATTGCCGTGTATCAGCAAAGCATTCAAAGTAGATGACTTCGGTCTTCAAAGACATTTTTTTAAACATTTTTTACAGGACAGGGAAGAGCCTGAGACAACAGACAAACATCTTGGCAATGTAGCTTTTGAGGCAAAGTTTGCTCAAGAGGAAATCGTAGCAAGTAACTTCTCCGAGGATCCTGGATGTGATGGATTTGTGATGAACAGTGCACCTCTGTTTGAGGTAGGACCCATTTGAAGACTGTTTTTCCATGGAATATCATTATTATATACACATTAATCCTGCGTCTTATTGGAAGAGCCATCGATGTACCCTTTGGCGCAAAAATATGCTCCGATATAATATCTGTTTCGAAAAGCTAACAGTTTGTAAACTGCAAACTGCGAGGAACAGATATAAATCCGATTATATTTTTAAAGTCAAATGGGGCTATTGTGTTCATTAGGGACCGTTCATTTTTTATGAGGGAGGGGGGGCTGGTGGGATTTGGGAAGCACCATTTAAAAATCGCATGACCCCCCCTCAGCTTACCAATTT